CCTTGTACAGGAGGCCACGGGGCTTGCATCGTGCGTTTGCATCACCTCGTGAGGACAAGAGCATCTGCAAGATGGCTGGTGCATCCGGACTGCCACGGCCACAAAAGGACACACTGTACATAGGTCCGAAGCCATTTGGGGAAACGGTGCCAGCGTCACAGCGAGCCTCCAAGAATGCCTTCACAGTGCTTGCACTGGAAACTGCGACAGCTCCGGTCAACGGGGGTGACGCGGCCAAGTCTGCTTTCTTCTCCAGCAACACTTGTACATGGCCAGGCTGCGATGCTAACCATGCCGCGGTAACTAATGAGCCAGACTCGGAGACGCTCACAATGTCAGGATCGGCCCGCGACAGGATGAGGGTGGATAACATCTTCGGCTCTTGAGAACTATAGGCGGCCACCATCAGCAAAGTTAGAGAATCGGAGTATCCCAAATGCCCAAGACCGCTGACACGAGCGTTGATATCTGCACCATGCTTGACCAAGGTTTCCACGATATCTCCATCGCCAGCAACAATTGCGCACAGCATGCCCGTCATGCCACTTTCATGCTTCACAGCTTCATGGAGACTCGGAAAATTGAAGTGTCGCAAGAAGCCCTGAAGGCTAAAGCCTCCCTGCTGTTGACCGAGCAATCTGGGCTCCTGCGCCAAGTGGAAGCGGTAGTCCGTCAAGGGCCCCCACCGATCCAAGTGTTCGATCTTGCTTCTCAAAGCCCGTTCCCCAAGCTTCATCACCACAGTGCGGTCGCTTTCCACTGTGAACAAGCCATCCGCGATCAAGCTTCTTTGCCAGTCCATAGGCATAATGTAGAGTGCCTCTCTGTCTGAAAATATGACAACCACCCTGGTGTCCTCTCGGTTCGAAAACAGGCGACACCATAGCTCCGCTCGACACCAGCCTGGAGGGGCGAGACAGAAAACATGCATTGCAGTGTCATCGAGACACCATACAACCCTGAAGCACCGAAGCATAAACAAGAATCGACCACTGATGTCCAAAGGTCATTCTCTTTTCGTCCTGGATTTATTCATATTTACTCCCAATACATCTAACTCATGGCTAGTATCCGCCGACCCCCGTTGGGGCGGCGCCTGTGAAATCCAGAACAGTTTTTCTTGTTTTTTCCGAGGCTCTGCTCTTGGTTTTTTCCCTAACCGCCTCGCCTCAACTACCCCACCCTTGGCTCGGGTGCCCAGCCCCTTCGGAAGTATTTAGACGCTTCCAATACGCGCCCAGACCCCTCCACCCACACCACCCCCTGTCCCCAGCGCCCGTCCTCACTCGCGTTTATTGCCCTAACAGCCTGCTCTCACCGCTTCCACCGCCCTCTGCCAGCTTCCATTGCCCCCCCCTCTGAGATGTAACTTGGGCGTGTGAACCCTCGCAAGGCGTAAAGGCACACAAGCACGCAAGTGTCTCTTTGTACAGCTATCCGGCTGAAGTCCAGAT